TGACCAAAATACAGGCAATATGTGCGTTCGTTCACAGAGCTGGCGAACAACAATATTATCAAAGTCGAGCAATAACAAATGCATTTCAAAGTTGAAAACACAGAAACGATTAAGAGAGGGAAATGGAAAAATGAGTTGAAGAGAACAACACAGGATATTCCGGTCCGCGCAGGAAATTCATAGATTAACGTACGTAAGTACAGTAAAGATGGTGACGGTCCGATCGATTATAAAATTATATATTGCGATTACAGTGTACAGACAAGTATATTTTTCTTCAAATTTAGGAGACAGTATAAAAATCTTACACTAAGGCAACTCGACTTTAAAATAATTATCTTCATGATTATATATATTGTTTAAGTCTGGTAATATGATTGGGTGTCAAAACATGTTAATTATTACACTTTGACAATAGTGCTATGTATGTGTTATGCTGTTCAGATGACATATAAATTTTCGAACTGAGAGGGAGCTATACCAAATTTACCGGGAGTACCGGTAAATTTTTTTATTTTTTAAAATTTTAACTCCAAATCAAAAGCTTTTTAGAGCCCAATTTTTTTAGAGTTGGGTGTTCTAACACTATATTTCACAATAGTAATGCAAATTTTAAATTTCATGATCCAATCCTGATGAAATATTCCCAAAACTTTGTAATACCTTTAATACTTTTATATGCCAAAAAAAAGAGTGAACTTATGACACCACTTTGGTCTTTATCTAGTTTATCTGCATGGTTGTTTTTTATGAATGTATCTTTGAGAGTAGACTAAAAAATAAAAATTTTTTTTTTTTTTTTTTTAGTCGAAGATGGGATTCGATCTCTTGCGCACCAACGATGACGTGACTAAAGTTAACGCCTTAGACCGCTCGGCCATCGCGCACTGTTACCATATCTAGTAGTTTTCTCTGATTTATTCATTAAAATGGATTGAAAACGGCTTCGCGTGCTGGATACTTCGCGGCAGCTCCATTAAACTTTTTTAATGCATTGGCACGAACTTAGATCAAAATCTATCGGCAGATATTGTTTTTGGAAGTTTATTTTCGACTTCATGTCAACAATGCAAGATAAAATTGTCGGTAAGATCGATCGAGATTCAATTGTATTAAAATTACCGACCAATTCATCGCACACGTACGGTATCCTCGATCGCTCAGACCATTCTTTAACATGTCAACCTATGGGTATTTCACCAAGACTGAAGTATTTTCCCGGTAACCATGGTTACTGGGATTTAAGAACTATTTTTTAGAACTATTACATGGGTTTGGAATTTTACCGGGAATTTTACAGGAATAGTTAAAGTTTATGACCAATTTCGACCAATCAGATGGCTAGATTTCTTAAGTGAGGTATATAAAGGGCAATACAACATCTTTTTTTTTTAGGCCTGATGGGATAATAATAATAGGAAGGAAGAGCAGTATTAATAATGTGGCTACCATTGGTAAATAAACCCAGTTGTTATTGATTCTTCATGATTTGTATAATCTCTATTACTTGATCGGTACTTCACTTTCTAGACGCATGGGGTCGTCGGCGTAGAGGATCAGCCCATGAGAGAAAAACTAAAAAAGACATGCCTGGGGTAAGATCACATTTACTCATTTATTTCAATATCTAGCTGCATGCAATATAGCTACAAGGGGGAGCAAGGGGGAAGGGGGCACAATTGAGTAGTAAACAAAAAATTAATAATAATGGAAGAAAAGAATGAAGGGACGAGGGAAGAGCAAACAAGGATGAGAAATGAAGATGCCTAGACCTGCACACTCCTCCTAATCAGTAACGTCATGAATTTATATTTCAATTTCCATGTAAGACCAGTGTGCCCTCCCCGCCCCCCCCCCATACAGTTTAGCTGTGTGATAAGCTGCCATCTGGATTATTTCCACAAGGTACAGGGTTCCAGGTCCCCCTTAATGGCTGGACCCATGCTAGTTGCTACGCCACTGTGCAATGTATTCATTTTATTACCACCTTCTGTAATATCAAAAGAAACTGAAAATTAGTGCACCTCCATTTCCTATAGATATTGTACAAGGTGAAATATATATATACCGGGTATATATAATTCTTCTCCCAACATTTACTGATTTTGATTTCTGTTTAATAGGAAATCTCATCCCTGAAAGTGAAGAAGGAAGAGAACAATCAGGTCCAGGAGGAGGATTTGGAAGAAAATAAAAGTCACGCCGACAGACGACCTTACTGGGCGTAGCTTTCATAATAATGATAACAATTAATGTCTTCTAAAGCCAAAGTATCAGCCTTCTATATACTGGGTAGGCATTCACTGGGCCAGCTATAAGATACATGTATGATACATAATCTGTTAAACTCTGTAGGTGTACTGCTCATGTTATTAAAACAATCGCAATAGCAAGAAATGTTAACACAAGACAAAAACACGATATTTTTGTGCCATATTCACGCTTAAAATTACAAAAGGTAAATTCTATACAACAAAGAGGAGGTGAATTATGGAACAATATTGAATAATCAATTTAAAATGTGACCACTCATGATATATACCATTAAATCAATCGCAATAGCAATAAACATAATGACAACACAAGATAAAAACTCTAAATTCTATCAATTCGAAATTCAAGTTGCGTCTTCTTGTCACATATAAATGACTTCTCTGATGCATACAATTATCATTCAGATTATGTTGTTCTGTATCATTATTGTGTTTTAGTTTGTAAAGTCTTGTTTTATGTCTTGTATTTTGTATATTGTGAAATTGTTAATGTCTTGTATTTTCCACATTTGACACTTATGTTATGGGTCCATGCATCTACTTCCCTCAAGCCTTCGACTTTATTGAGTGCTAATGATCCAGTACACTTCTCAATGTAAAAATCATGTATGTGATTTATTACGAAATAATGAATTTCATTGAATTGAATTGAAAAGTATCAGCCATCTAGGCACTCCAATATACGTACATGATACATACAAATTGCATCTACCTGGTTCTATGTTATTTTATTCTATGCATCAAGCATGCGTTGCAAACAGAGAGAAAGAAAGAGAGAGATACAGAGAGAGAGATACAGAGAGAGAGAAACAGACAGACAGACAGACAGACAGAGACAGAGACAGAGAGATGAAGATAGAAAGGGAAACGAGTGAAGATCAGAATAAATAGTGAGAGATAACAAAAGAGAAGAGAAGAGAAGAGGAAAGAAGACAAGACAAGACAAAGGAGATATATGGAAAGACGGTGGCTCCAAGATAACAAGCAAGAGATAATTACAAAACATTTACCATAAAGATAAAGACCGGTTATGGTCATACGATAGCATAGTGAAAGAAACGTTGTGGAATCGATCAGAAAAGGTTGATCATCTAGCATATCATCAAAATGATAAGAAATCTGGCCCAGTCTTGGTAAAGTTACAAGCATGCACTGTACACAGGAAGATGTATATGGGACTACCCATACGTGCGCGACACGTGCGTTATATCAGGTCCAAATAGATATACTTTACTTTATCAGCCGTTGTCAATCCACTGCAGGATGAAGGCCTCAGCATGATGTTTCCAAATGCCTCTGTTCAGCGCCTGTTGGTGCCAATTTGTCTGTCCCCAGAACTGTTGCAGCTCGTCTCGCCATCTTTTTCTTTGACGTCCCCTGTTTCGTTTTCCCTCGTATGGTGTCCAATGAGTGATTGCTGAGCTCCAGCGATTGTCTTTCCTGCGGCTGATGTGGCCTGCCCAATTCCATTTCCTTCTTTTCACTGTTTTAAGGATGTCCTGGACTTTTGTTTGTTCCCTGATCCATTTGTTTGTTTTTCTGTCTTTGTATGTGATGCTTAGAATACTTCTTTCCATGTTGTGTTGCGAGGCTGCTAGCTTTCTTTCCATTTTTGAAGTTAGCGTCCATGTTTCTGCAGCGTATGAGATTGCTGGGATGATGCACTGGTTATAAACCTTCTTTTTCAGGCATAATGGAAGTTTGCCTTTCATGATGGTGCTGTATCTGCCAAAGGCTCGCCATCCAGCTTTGATTCTTCTTCTTATTTCGTTGTCTTGATTTTTGTCTTGGAGGGAGAAACGTTGTCCTAGGTAAATATACTCCTCTACTTGCTCCATTTTGGTACCGTTCACTTGGATTTGTTTTGGATCTTTGGCTGATCCTGCCATGACTTTAGTCTTCTTCATGTTCATTTTGAGGCCTGAAAGTCGGCTTGCATCGTCCAGTTCTTGTAGCATTATTTCAAGGTCGTTTAAGTTGTGAGATATGATGACAATATCGTCTGCAAATCTTAAGTGACTCATGTTTTCCCCGTTTATGTTGATTCCCTTTGATGACCAGTCTAATGTTTTGAAGATGCTCTCTAGGCAAGCAGTGAAGAATTTTGGTGAGCCGGTGTCTCCCTGTCGAACTCCCTTTCTTATCATGATTTTGTTGCTGGCCTTGTGCATTCTGACAATAGATATAATAATTTACCAAATATATCAATTAGTAGGCAGTTTCTTGGCAAAATTTGTTTAATCATGTATTAGTCAAAACATAATCTTTCACATGATTGGTAATAAGAGCTTCCATTTCATTTTTTGAGAGGGGGGCGTTTCCAAAACTGGTCTTTACTTTTAAATAACTTGCATAAACCCATCATCAGAGCGAACAAATCAAAAGTCAAAGGCTTTCAACTATACGCACATCGTCATAAATACAATTGATAAATCAATTTTCTGAAGGATGAACAAGCCTTAAAACCTGACCTTACTCTTTACCTAATATGACTACAGTTCTCTCATGCAGTTATTTCTTTATAAATTTAAGGCAAAGAAAATGAATAGCATTGACCATTGATATGAATAGTTTGACCCACAATGCCTGTTACACTAAAGTGCGACCTTTTGGTATACAATTGGCTGTTTTGGATTTTTTATAAAAATGAATATAAAAAGAAATTAGCTCTATATATCTGTTACACTCTTTACAAGCTGTGCACAACTACCTCAGTCTCTCAAACTTGATGGTACCAAGTTTACTTCTTACTCAAAGAATTCTAAATTGCTGTGAAACTTCAGTCATCATTCATCAGCCAAGATGCAGCGTGTTCTTGTAATATTGATCATTTCTATGATTCTTGTGGCTGGTGTTCTGGATGGAGCAGGTAAGATTTTAATCATTCAAAACATTTCTAATTATTGTTATTTAGTACAGTCATCAAATCCACTGGGAATTACCAAAATTTTGGACTTTTAGTATAATCTTCAATTTACCTACAAGTCTTTGAAAATCATCCTCACGCAGGAGTTTCTTTGCCTTCTTTTCCTAATATGCTTTCATTAGAAGTATCCTTGTAACAAAAGTAAAAGCAAAAGGTTTCAACCAGTGTTGAACTTAGGGCCCAAACCCTCAAGGCCAAGACTTGAAACCACAAGGCCAAGACCAAGGCATAAATGAACAAAACATGGGGATATATAATCATACTGGAACATACAAAGAAGGATTTTCATACACATATTCTTGCTCAGTCGGTGCTTACGTCTCAAGACAAGATGTTTGGCCCACATACAAATGGGTACGTGTCAATGATTGGATAATAATAATAGGAAGAGCAGTATTAATAATGTGGCTTACGTGGGTTAAGCCCAGTTGTTATTGATTCTTCATGATTTGTATAATCTCTTTTACTTCATCGGTACTTCACTTTCTAGACGCATGGGGTCGTCGCCGTCGTCGTCGTTTTGCAGGACTCGAGAGAGAAACCACAGACATGCCTGAGGTAAGATCACATTTACTCATTTATCTCAATATCAGCTGCATGCAATGTAGCTACAAGGGGGAGCCAGGGGGAATGGGCACATCCCTCCCGATTGAGTGGTGAAGAAAAATAATAATAATGCTAGAAAAGAAAGAAGGGGCAAGGGAAAAGCAGAAAAGGATGAAGATATGCCTAGACCTGTACACTCCCCCTAATCAGTAGCGTCATAAATATATATTTCAATTTCCATGTAAGACCAGTGTGCCCTCCCGCCCCCCATACAGTTTAGCTGTATGATAAGCTGCCATCAGGATTATTTTTTTACAAGGTACAGGGTTCCAGGTCCCCCTCAATGGTTGGACCCCGGCCATGCTACGTACGCCACTGTGTAATGTATTCATTTTATTACCGCCTTCTGTAATATCAAAAGAAACTGAAAATGAGTGCACCTCCATTTCTTATATATATTATACAGAGTGAGATATAACATATATATATATATATATATATATATATATACCAGGTATATATAATTCTTCTCACAACATTTACTGATTTTGATTTCTGTTTAATAGGAAATCTCATCCCTGAAAGTGAAGAAGGAAGAGGACAATCAGGTCCAGGAGGAGGATTTGGAAGAAAATAAAAGTCACGCCGACAGACGACCTTACTGGGCGTAGCTTTCATAATAATGATAATAATTAATGTCTTCTATAGCCAAAGTATCAGCCTTCTATATACCAGGTAGGCATTCAATGGGCCAGCTATAAGATACATGTAGGATACATAATCTGTTAAACTCTGTAGGTGTACTGCTCATGATATATACCATTAAAACAATCGCAGTAGCAAGAAACAAAATTTCAACACAAGATAAAAACTTAATATTTTCTTGCCATATTCACGCTTAAAGATAAAGACCAGTTATGGTCATGGGATTGCATTTGGAAAGAAACGTTGTGGAATCGATCAGAAAAGGTTGATCATCTAGCATATAAGTATTACTGCAAGGTTCTGGAATCATCAAAATGATAAGAAATTTGGCCCAGTCTTTGTAAAGTTACAAGCACTTACACAGAAAGATGTATATGGGACTACGCACACGTGCGCGACACATGCGTTTATCTCTCACAGTCCACTAGATAAACTAATTTACCAAATATATCAATTAGTAGGCGGTTTCCCGGCAAAATTGTTATCATCATGTATTAGTTAAAATATATTCTTTTACATGATTGGTAATAAAGAGCTTCCATTTCATTTTTTGAAATTGGGGCGTTTCCAATACTGGTCTTTACCTTTAAAATTACGAAAGGTAAATTCTATACAACAGAAAGGAGGTGAATTATGGAACAATATTAAATAATCAATTTAAAATGCGACCACTCTAAATTCTAAAAATTCAAAATTCAAGTTGCGTCTTCTTGTCACATATAAATGACTTCTCTGATGCATACAATTATCATTCAGATTATGTTGTTCTGTATTATAATTGTGTTTTAGTTTGTAATGTCTTTTTTTATGTCTTGTATTTTGTATATTGTGAAATTTTTAGTATTTTGTATTTTCCACATTTGACACTTATGTTATGGGTCCATGCATCCACTTCCCTCAAGCCTTCGACTTTATTGAGTGCTAATGATCCAGTACACTTCTCAATGTAAACATCATGTATGTGATTTGTTACAAAATAATAAATTTCATTGAATTGAATTGAAAAGTAGGCCTATCAACCATCTAGGCACTCATTGGGCTTGCTCCAAGATACGTACATGATACATAAAAATTGCATCTACCTGGTTCTATATTATTCTATTCTATGCATCAAGCATGCGTTGCAAACAGAGAGAAAGAGAGAGAGAGAGGGTGAGAGAAAGAAAGAGAGAGAAAGAAAGAGAGAGAGAAAGAGAGACAGAGACAGAGAGATGAAGATGAAGAGAGAAAGGGAAAATAGTGAAGATCAGAATAAAAAGTGAGAGATAACAAAAGAGAAGAGAAGAGAAGAGAAGAGAAGAGAAAAGAAGAGAAGAGGACAAGAAGACAAGACAAGACAAAGGAGATATAAGGAAAGACGATGGCTCCAAGATAACAAGCAAGAGACAATTACAAACGTTTACCTTAAAGAAAAAGATCGATTATGGTCATGCAATCGCATTGTGAAAGAAAGGAATCGATCGGAAAAGGTTGATCATCTAGCATATAAGTATTGGTGTGTACTAGCTGTAAGGTTCTGGAATCATCAAAATGATAAGAAATTTGGCCCAGTCTTGGTAAAGTTACAAGCACTGTACACAGAAAGATGTGGACTATGCACACGTACGTGACACATGCGTTATATCTATCAGGTCCAAATAGATTAGTAGGCGGTTTCTCTGCAAAATTTGTATGATCACGTATTAGTCAAAACATAATCTTTCACATGATTGGTAATAAGAGCTTCCATTTCATTTTTTGAGAGTGGGGGGGGGGGGGCATTTCGAAAACTGGTCTTTACCTTTAAATAACTCGCATGAACCCAACATCAGAGCAAACAAATCAAAAGTCAAAGGCTTTCAACTACTGCATGTAGTCATAAATACAATTAATAAATCAAATTTCTGAAGGATGAACGAGCCTTAAAACCTGACCTTACTATTTTCCTGATGATTGTTCTCTCATGCAGTTATTTCTTCATAAATTCAAGGAGAAGAAAATGAATAGCATTGACCACTGAAATGAATAGTTTGACCCACGATGCTTGTTACACTTAAGTGCGACCTTTTGGTATACAATTGGCTGTTTTTGACCTTTCATAACAATGAAAATAAAATGAAATTAGCTCTATATTCCGGTATCTGTTACACCAAAGAGATACCAGCAAATTTGCACTCGGTGCACAAACTACCTCAGTCTCTCAAACTCGATTGTACCAGGTTCACTTCTTACTCAAATTAGAATTCTAAATTGCTGTGAAACTTCCGTCATCATTCATCAGGCAAGATGCAGCGTGTTCTTGTAATAATGATCATTTCTATGATTTTTGTGGCTGGTGTTCTGGATGGAGCAGGTAAGATTTTAATCATTCAAAACATTTCTAATTATTGTTATTTAGCACAGTCCGTTACGGAGATCGTACTTTTGCCATTGCAGCCCCTAAATTATGGAACAGTTTACCTATTATTATTCGTCAATCCCCATCTGTAGAGTCTTTTAAGGCAAGTTTGAAGTATTTTTTGTTTACCGGTAATAGTAATTTATAGGGCAGTTTAATTATCTGTAATGTTATTATTAGAATTATGTATTATTATTGCTGTATGTTTATTTTACGTTGTACCTAATTACTTGTATGTTAAGCGCTTAGAAACATTGTATTAAGCGCTTTATAAATGTAATTTATTATTATTATTATTATTATTAAAGATCATCCTTAGGCAGGAGTTTCTTTGCCTTCTTTTCCTAATATGCTTTCATTAGAAGTATCCTTGTAACAAAAGTAAAAGCAAAAGGTTTCAACCAGTGTTGTAGTTATAGGGCCCAAATCCTCAAGGCCTATACTTGGAACCAAATGGCCAAGGCCAAGACCAAGGCATGAACGAACAAAACATGGGGATAATGGAACATACACAGGACTTTCACACACATATTCATAATCCTATAATCATGGAGTTACGTCATACTTCTGGAGGCTAAATAATATCTACATCCTTTTATATAGTGGTCGTTTATATTTAACATGAAATACATCTCAAAACAGGAGCCCCAAGATATAAGTTCTCTGCACTCTCATACGAGAGGACTCAGGACCCTGGCGGTTCAATTCTTGCTCAGTCGGTGCTTACATCTCAGGACAAGATGTTTGGCCCACATACAAATGGGTACATGGCTGTCAATTATGCTGGGATAATAATAATAGGAAGGAACAGCAGTATTAACAACGTGGCTACCCTGGGTAAATCAACCCAGTTTTTATTAATTCTCCATGATTTTTATCATCTCGTTACTTGTTTGGTACTTCACTTTCTAAAAGGGGGAATGGAAATTCAGAGGCGTCGTCCTCCTCATGGCGTTGTGAGAGAAACCAGAGACGTGGCTGGGGTAAGATCACATTTAGGGTGCGTTCAAATGATTTTTTTTAAAAAGCTAGAATCACAAACATGAATCACAAATCAAAATACAGTTAATAAACATGGTAAGTGCGGGAGAGCGGTCAAGCCATTTTTCATCAACGCTGATTCTCGCTCATTTCAAGCCCAGCCGTGATTCTGCACATCACGATCCAAAACACATCTTTTTCAGTGTTCATGTTTACGTTTTAAACACGTTTATTTTTACAACCAACAAAAAATCGCTTGAAATCGCTTAAACGCAATCATGTTTTAAACTACCGGTAAACGTCTTTGAAAACCGTGTTTCTAGGGTTAAAAAGTGTCCCTTGAACGCACCCTTACTCATTTATCTCAATGTCAGCTGTGTACAATGTATAGCTTCAAGGGGGAGCAAGGGGAAGGGGCACATCCCTTCTAATCGAGTGGTGAAAAAAAAAAACTAAAGATAACACGAGAAAGATTCCTATTAAAAAACCTGAAATATGATAGTAGGATTGATGTCATCTAGCTCTACAGCAATTGGTATTTTTCAAATAATGTGTTTTAAACTTGAAAGCCCTCTGAGGCCTTTATTCTACTTATTCATTCAAAACTTGATTGACAATACCCTGTTGAAATGGGGATTCTATTTCATATTGTCTTTGTGCTCATTTAGGTACCTGAGAGAAATGTAATGGCATTAAAAGACGCGTCCGGAACACAAATAGCAAAATAGTTGTTGATTTTTGTGAATTAAGAGTTCATTTTTGACATATATATAATATATTCACCAGCTCCATATCCTAAAGATGTGCTTCTACCTCTATGTGGTAAACTTCTGATTTTGAGTTCTGAATGCATCTTTTTGTGCCACGACACTTGGCTAATAAGCTACCTCAAAGTGACTCAGTAACATTGTCTCAGATTCTGAAACAAAATCCTGGATTTAGCTCATGCCGCAATGATAATTATAATTCTTTAGGTCAGTCTGAAACCCCATGAATTTTACCCCATGATTATCAAGATATTTATGATTGGAAATTGAAATCAATTTTTCTGTTTTTCTAACCGTTTTTATATCACTACAGTCTATTGGGCAAAATGAGTATGGTAAAACCTGTCACTCAATGATTTTTACTTTGTTGAGGCACTTCATAGAGGTGTCGTGGTCGAGTGGATATGTTACCGGACTGTGGATCACAAGGTCTGCGGTTCAAGTCCCGCAGCGGCACTAATGTCCTTTGTCAAGACATTGATCTACATTTGCCACTCTCCACCCAGGTGTTTAATGGGTACCCGGTAGGATGCGAAAGCTAATGTGGTTTGATTAGCAAGTGACGCTTGTAAAATGGCGAATGGCTGGAATGCTCCCCAGGGAGTGGAGAATGTGCATACATTGTGTGCGGGCAAGCATGAATCCGTTGACAGGGGTAATAATATGTATCTGTAAAGCGCATTGAGAGGCCCTTCGGTCCTGAAATTCGCTATATAAGGACGAGCTATTATTATTATTATTCATGATCCTTTTGAAGTGCAATTTTGTTGTTTTGATAACACGTAGGGCCATACATGTACATGTACATGTACATCTCAGGTTTAACATTGTTAAACGATACTTTTAAAATAAATAACATCAGCACCAAATTTAAAACCTATATTCTTTGATTTGTATTAGGAAATGTCATCCCTGAAAGTGACGAAGGAAGAAAACGATCAGCTCAAGGAGGAGGATTTGGGAGATAAATAAAGGTCACGCCATCAGACGACCTGGGTGTAGCTTTAATAACAATGTCTTTAAATTGATAGCGAAATTATCAGCCTCCTGGGCACTCATTGGGCTTGTTACAAGATACATGTATGATGTCCACTGCTCGTGTATACAATTAAAACAATATTAAATAGTTCAAGAAGTAGTTTGCAGTGTTCAGTCAATAAATGAACAATATGTTAATTATGGATCACATTTACCGTCTTAAATCGCGTATCAATTTTTATTTCCTTATGATATGTTGGTATAGTATTGTTATGTATTGAAATATGCATTTTTAAAATGTTTTTATATAATTTGTATATTTCAGCCTAGACTGTGAGACAGATTTGTGTTATACAATTAAATCAAAATACAATTAAATAAATATTCATTTGACAAGCATATCAGAATGGCTAAAAAAAAAATTAATTGAATAGATATTTCTTTCCATGGTTAAAGCTGCTCAGCAGCGGACAAAACATGGAAGGCTATTCAAAACCTTTGCGACAGGCCCTAGGAATGAGCATTCACTCCAGGTAAATGACTTCCTAAAGCAGGGGAATGTCAACTATTAAATGTAATGTAGTTGACATTCCCTGTACATGTATACTGTGTGCCCGACAGATGGGAGTAATGGGCTTTAATTAGCAAAATTTAAAAAGAGCATTACAACAGCTTTAAAGACGAAGTTGAGTTGTGATCATGCCATTGCATTATGAAAGAAACGGTGTGGAACCGACCAGAAAAGGTTGATCATCTAGCAAGAATGTGTGTGTATTGCAAGGTTCTGGAATCATCAAAATGATAAGAAATTTGGCCAAGTCTTGGTAAAGTTACAAACACTTGCACAGAAAGATGTATATGGGACTACACGAACACGTGGCGTAAAAAGCCGGCCCCCGATTTTTTCGATGTTACATGCATATTTAGAATATGAAGGCATTTGAAGAGCCATGCTTTTCAGGGAACATGTCTTAACTGATGTTCTTCCACACTTGCATAAAATAAGAATGAGTAATGCTCACAAATTATTTTTCACCTCTTCCCAGAACTCAACCTTCTCTTTAACTATAAAAAAAAACTGTTTTACCGTCTTACATGTAACTGGTCCTGAAATCAATCTTCTATCTCCGGTATATGCTTTAGATGGTACTTGATCAATTATGAGTCAATCATTTTGTGAAGCCAACAAATTAATAACATGTACTAATGTAAACTGAATTCATTCTCAAAAAAAGAAATTAAAGCTTATAAGAAACTTACCTCATCTTTGTGTTTTTCATATCTTGTCTTTTTCCTTGCATCAAATGTACCATCGAGCTCCAACTGTGCTGCTAGCATGTTTTGAAACTATGTGTAAAGAATGGATATTAAGAATTGTTGAGAAGTGTTTCGAGTACACATGAATTAATTCTATTCTATGCACCAGACACGTACACAGGGGGGGGGGGGTGTTTTGGGGTCAAAACCCCCCCCCCCCTCAATTTTTTTTTTTTGCTGAAGGGGAGAGGGGGTTGTGCATTGTTTTGTTTTTTAATCAATACTCCTTATCCCCTCCCCTCCAATGAGCGAAATATTGATAGACACGATTTTCAAATTTTGGGGTCAAAATAGAAAGAAAAAAATTATTTATGAAGAAAAAAGAAAAGTCAAAAGTTTAAAAGGTAAGACAAGAGGGGAAGCGAGTTGAAGTACAGAAGAAACAGAGAGACAGAGAGACAGAGAGAGAGGGAGGAAGAGAAAGAGAGGGAGACAGAGAGAGAGAGAGGAAGAGAGGGTGGGTGATAGAGAGAGAGAGAGAGAGAGAGAGAGAGAGAGAGAAAGGAAGTTGAGTGAAGATCATTAATTATAATGTCTTCATTTTTACTTTTTAGGAAAAATACTCCAAAAAAGATAAGAAAATTGATACAAAAAGTGACGAAAGGGGCAACAAATATAACAACTTCATAATAGATCTATATCATGACCATTATTTGAACAATCGATGAAGATTAAGTTGATACGAAAATACTTTAGGCCTATACTTTAGCGCCAGCTAAAGTTCTACGTGCATATAGCTATAGGCCTGTCAAACCATCACACTAACGTGAATTTCATGATGTGGGACAGCCTCACAGAAATGTCAACCTTTCGTTCAAATGAATTAGTATTACCCAGAATCAAACAAACTATTCTACCATCCATTTGGCTACTCAGTTTCATCCAGATTATTCATAATAACATTAAGACAGACATACAGCTACATGTATATCAATCGTCAGTTTAATACAAATAGATCGAATTTTACCTTTTCCTATGTTGTGCGTAACAACGGAAAGCTGAGCTGACTAGTCTCAATAAAGTGGTTACTGATTAATTCACATTACTCTAATTAAAATCATTGTAATTATCAGGAGGGTTTTGGGGTTTGTCCCCCTACTACTATCGTTTTTCGTGTTTTTATTTCCTTCTAAATGATACATTTTAAGTGCTCCATTATGTCTAGACAAGTTGAAGATTAAACTTCTAAAATATTCAAGAATTTAAGAATGTTTCGTTTAGCTCTAGAGAATTGCAGAAAGGCTACCAATAATAAAAACAAAAACTCGGCGTTATTCATAATTGAATGACATCATAGAGATATAGTCTATATACTACTAAGTATAAGTATATATCTCTATGAATGACACACGCCTTATTTAAAACAACAACAACAACATGGACGTAAATAATCATATCTTATGGCACGTCTGTAAAAACCCAATACACACACACACACACCATGGGCGTAAATTTTTATACATGAATGAATAATACACGCCAATAAAAACTAAGACAACAACAACAACAATGTTACAGTATTTATAGATTTAGAGAAGGCTTTTGATTCTCTGTGGACAAAAGGACTTATAGCAAAACTGAGTGACTTTGTACTCATTAAAGACCATATACTTCTCTAGTTATACCCCGGCCCCCCCCCCCCCCCCACTCAGGGGTCGGAATGACCGCATGCGTGTGTTGCCAAAATGTCCGGTAAAGGGGTACTTTTCGTGCGACAAAGTCCGGCCCGAGAATTGTAAAAAAAAAAAAGGGGGTGTATTTGACTTTTCACCCGGAGATTTCTTTAAAAAGGGGGTGTTTTTTCGTTTTTTCTCTCATCTCTTAGGACTCCTGAGAAATTATTCCGAATTTAGGGGGGTATATTGAGCATTTTTCCTGATTTAGGGGGGTCTCCAAGGCAGGAAAAGCTCGCGAAAAGCCCGCGAAAGGGGGGTTCTGAAATGTTGGCAGTCCTCAGATAGGGGGTGCTTTTAAAAAGAGGCGAATGAGCATAATATTATGCGTACCCTAAATAACACTGAGTGGGGGGGGGGGCGTGATTTATACAATCTTCTATCACGACGCACATTTCAGGTACGAACAGACGAATAAGACCTAATGCATGTCATCCTCAATGAAACGGATTTATAGATCATTTGTCAACTCTGTTTGTTGCTACGGCAGGCAGCCAGTGAAAACGAATTCGTTTAATCAAATTATGGAAATGCAAGCATTGCTTTAAACAAACAGAACTTTGTTATTTGGAGCTCATTTTTCTTGAGTGAGGTGTCATATAATTATGAAAGGCAGAAAATGAACCTTCTAGAAATGTGAATTTTCTCTTTGAAATTCAGATACCGCCCGCCAAATGTTTTTTTGTTACCCTCTCTTCAAGTTGTTTTTAATCACTCATGTGTGAAATATGCATCATATCAGAGTTGCATCAAATGAAAGAAGAGGACCTAAGCTTTACAAACATGTGTCATTCATTAATTTTAATTGTGATTAAAGATACTATGTCCCTTTTGCAGCCAACATCAAATTCTGTAGAACTTTGCAGGAATTATGAATATATATGTCATGTATGTCCAATCTGTGAAATTTAAACGTTACAGTGTCCTAATATTCAAATTATGCAAGGAAACCCGTTTACTTGCTAGACTTTACTGTCAGACACTATTGAGTGACTGACTGGCTTTTTTCTTCTTTGGTAATAACATACATTAAATGAGCTGTAAAGGGTAGGCCTACATGAGCATTTGTCTACATCAATAACCCACTTCTTTTTGAGGGGGGGGGGTTCAATTTGTGAGGAAATATTTAGCAGCGAATCATCCAGCCGGTGAATAAGCGGGAAGGGCCAGGGGGAAGAAATACTAATGCGTTGTTTTTTTGGAGGGGGGAGGAGGGTGTTTTTTGTTTAAAAAGGTAAGATTAATGTTACCATCTTACTTTTAAACCAGTTTTTTTTTAGGCTGGGGGGGGGGGGGCGTCCGCCCCTCCCATCACCCCCCCCCCCCCAGTGGACCCTTGACTGGTTATAGATAAGATCTACTGAAGTTCGATAAATGTAAATGTTAAATTTATAAACTATATTTATGTCTAATAATATTCTTTGCTCTTCTTTGTAAGGAATTATTCTTGCACAGAACTTGTTATCCGAAAAAAGATTAAGGGGCAAATTTGGGAAAGATATTTTGGGAGGAACATGTTTACAAACACACCAAGAGTGTGTCGTCATAACATCGTACCTATCACTCTTAAATTAACTCAACTAAATATGCAATTGGCCCAAACATTCGACGAATGACGTTGTTGTCCCTTCCTACACAAAAAATAATGTACGTCAACAAAATTTTGATGTCAACGAATTTATCAGCGCGAATGTATTGGAAATTTTTAAAACTTGCATTGGCAGATTTCTAGATGTAATGTCCAGTTTGTTTTTTCTCTATTTGCTAAACTTTATTTTTTCAATTTTCCATAATTTGTCAGTATACAGTCAAACCTGCTTTAGTGACCACCTGTCTACAACAGGCACATTTTCTGTCTCCCTTGAAAATGGTTTCTCATTGAAACATGTAATAAAGGAACCTGTCTACAAAGACCACTTTTTGTGTTTCCCTTGGGCCGCTGTAGACAGGTTTAACTGTATTACATTTAGTCTGTTCAGTCATAATTGAGTGGTTGGAAAACTTGACTGGAGATCCGTAGGTCGTGGGTTTGATCCCCACCACCATCATCATCATTATCATCCCCATCATCATCATCATCATTATCACCGTCATCATCATCATCATCACCATCATCATTATCACTTTCATCATCACCATCATTATCATCCCCATCATCATCATCAGCATTATCACCATCATCACCATCATCACCACCACCATCATCACCATTGACATCATCATCATCACCATCATCATTAACACCCTCATCATCACCATCATCATTATCATCACCATCATCATTATCACCATTATCATCACCATCATCATCATCACCGTCATCACTTTGAACATCATCACCATCATCAACATCATCACCATCATTCAAAACAAGAAACTAGAATAAAGGGATATTAAGGCGTTGGTAATGCTAGGAGTCCACTGGGCCGGCGCCAGTTGGTGCCAGTTCGCGCCAAAGATTATGTGATTGGCGCGTAGTGGCTCGCTGTGGCGCCGAATTAATGTCCACTCGGCATGTGTCGCCAAGTGGAATAAACTGGGTGCCATATGGCGTGCGCCAAATGCCACCCGGCTTGCTCCAAAATGTTGCGCCAGTTCGCGCCAGTTTGCGCCATTTGATTCCAAAATTCACCCTGTTGGCGCCATTCGCGCCAATAGACGGCTACTTTGCGCCACTTGGTGATTAGTTTGTGCCAAAGGTCGCCAAATTGGTTTGAACTTGCCGCCGCTTGGCGCTACTTGCCGACTAAATAAATATCGGCCATTGGCTACCTGGTTCAGACCCTCCTCAGCTGCTGTATGAACAACATCTCTACTAAATATTTACAATTTTGATATGTCTGAGGCTTTTGATAATGTTGGAGTGATGATGCTGCTCCATCAGAAGATGATGAGAGATGCTGAGGTGGCCACTGCCTATCAACTTATGCTGGCCAATCCTGAAGAAGAAGAGCCTCCTAAGAAGAAAAGGAAGCACAACTGGTGGTTTAGACCCATGCTCCACCCACAGTTGAGGGCCGAACATGGACAGTACCACACTTTGATGGAAGAGCTGAGTGAGAATGACAGGAGGAAGTTCAAGAACTACACCAGGGTGTCCCCAGAGATGTTTGATGACCTGTTGGTCAGGCTAACACCCCACTTGCAGAAGAAGGACACCCACATCAGGAAGGCCATTCCCCTGGTCTCAAGTTGTCCCTCTATCTGCGCCATCTCGCCACTGGGCCTATGCCGAGCTGTCTTACAACTTCCGAGTGGGCAAGGAAACCATCCAGAAGTTTGTCCCTGATGTAGCCAGAGCGGTAGTGGATGAGTATGCTGCAGAAGTCATCTCCCCCCCCCCCCCCCCCACAACCAGTGAAGGCTGGCTTGAGGTTGCAGGTGATTTTGAAGCCAGATGGAATATTCCTCACTGTCTGGGAGCCTATGAAGGAAAGCACATCCGTCTCCAGAAGCCCAACAAATCAGGCAGCCTTTACTTCAACTACAAGCAGTTCTTCTTGGTTGTCCTGATGGCTCTGGTAGATTCAAAGTACCAGTTCCTGTGTATCGATGTGGGTGGGGTTGGCCATCAGTCTGATGCCCAGATCTACAACAACAGTGAACTGAAGGAGTGCATTGAAGCTGGCACTTTAGGCATCCGAGATCCAGCTCCTCTTCCCCATGATGATGAAGAGCACCCTATGCCGTACTTCTTCGTGGGAGACGATGCCTTCGCCATGAGGACGTACGTGATGAAGCCCTATTGCCGTCGTAACATGGACCAACAGCAGAAGATCTTCAACTACAGGCTGTCCGGGGCAAGGCGTGTGGTTGAAAATGCCTTTGGTATTCCGGCTCTGCGGTTCCAGTGCTTCCTTGGCCAGATGAAACAGGAACCAGACACAGTCCGCCTACTCATTGAGCTACCGTCATGCTGCACAACCTCATCAGGAAGCACTATCAGGCACTGGACGTCCGCATGTTCGACCAGGAGGATGCCCAGCACAACCTCATCCCTAGAGCTTGGGGAACTGCCGCCATCACTGTGAGAAAGTCCTGCGATGCCGCCCTGCTGTTATAGGCGGCAAGTGGCGCTGAATGGCGGGCAATCAGGTGGCATTTGGCGCGAAGTAGTCACCAATCGGGTGCCGTTTGGCTCGCGTAGTGGCGCAAACAAGGTGCCCCTTGGCGCCAAGTGGCGCCATGTGGCGCGAAATCTCACTGGCGCAACTTGGCGCGCGCCATTACATTCCAGTGGATTCCAATAGGCGGATTGTTTGCGCCAAAGGGCGATATGTTCGCGCCATTTGGTGCCACTTGGCGGACACTTGGCGCTGATTGTTCGATGCAAGTGGCGCGA